AGTTGTTCCAACAGCTTATGTGATTTATAAAAGCCCCCCCCCTCCCCCTCACGCGTTGAGTTGACGCCTTCCAGATTTAATTTGTTTGTTTAATTTGTATAGTGGTTTCAAACTTTCAGAAAATTTACCAATTTTCTATTTAAGAAGCGTTGGGCACCGATTCATTTAACGAAATATTTACGTTATTTTCATGTTTTTAACATAGCAACTCAGCAATCTAAAACGTATCTTTCTCAAGATGAAGAGTGTACCAAATTCCAGAGTACGAAGCCCTATTCAATCTCTTACTTTTGTGATGAGCTAATTAGGAGCTTCTACCTACAAACTGCTCAACTTTTCTCCACCCTTTGAGGGAAAATCATCGTTGGGAGCCTCCACTCCCTCCTTCCTCTTTGGATACGGCACCGTTATTTACTAGCTCATTAGAAACATTTACATCAAGCAATTATGTTTTCCGAGCTTGAAGAGGGGCAATGGTCTACGTAGACACCAGATTAATTATAGTTGCATTTATTCATTTCGGGGTAAATATGAGTTTTCAGGGAAATCAATTATATGTAAATAATACATCTATTCATCATTGATCTATTTAGATTTAGCCCGTTGTGAGTTTGTAAATACGAAAGAGCTAATTCTTTGGCTTATTTTATGAATAAAAGTTCATATATAAACTACATAGGTCCGCAAACGCTTCGTTGCCGATCTACAGGGTGTTAAAGTTTCAATCATTTTTTTTCTTTATATCTCCGGAACAGCTTACATCATTGTCAATGTCAATGACAATGAGAATCTGCAGTGCCATGTTCATTTTCAACCCCTAAATTTTTTCGCAGCAGCATTGGTAGATTATGAAACCAGAATTTCATTTTGTGGTTTATATAGAAACTTTTTGATCTCGTATAAACTTTTTCGTAGCTGTGATCGTTATCGGGGAAGGAAATAAAAATCAATTTTCGGTTTATATTTTTTAAAATTGCCCAGTAGGCAGTGGCTTTATTTGGGTAATATCTTGTTGTTATTAGTTTTTATAGTTGCCATTGAAAATTGTATCTTGTGTTTGCATATGTTTATAAATTAATGCTTTAAACTGTAAAGTGTACGGTAGAACTATAACACCCTTAGATCAATAACGAAGCGTTTGCGGACCCATGTTTATATAAACTTTTAGTAATCAAATAACCCCCTTTCGTATTTACATCATATTTACCCTGTATACGGTCTTGATTGAGTTACAAAAATTGACAAATTGGAACATATTGTTAAACAGGTGACTAAACCGAAATATCCATAAATTTCTGGAATTGTGACCACGTCCCAAAAAGCCTTTGGTAGAGATACTATTATTATAAGCAAAATAACAATCTTGTCTAGTAATCATTAATCATCACATGGGAAGAAGCACGTTTTAGCTTGAATCGTAAACAAGTTGCCGATATTGACAAACTGACAACTGCTTCATAGCAAAAAAGTTACAATGCAATGGGTTTTGTCGAAAATCCGTATAATCGAACCCTATTTTTTACATGAGGGAGGGCATTCGCTAGTGTGGAATTCAAAAATTCCAAATTTTATGACAAATAACGATCAAATTCATTAACTTCCAAAAAGAATTAGTTAAACAACCACTTTTTAAAACAACTGAAATAATCTGTGGGTACGGATCAACAAAATTAATCATGATTTTTATTCCAACCCACAAATCAAATTAATAACAAAATTATACCAATCAAAGTGGACAAAGCCCGTTTTACACACCCCGCATAAGCAGCAAATGCACTACATTCTTTCTTTAACTACTCTCTTGTTCGGGACACAAAAAAAAAACGATGGCTGCTCGAACAATACACACAAACTTCAATGAAATTCCTTCACCCAAATTACGCTTCTTCTCAAATTTTCATTCTAAACTCGGCTGATTTCTTAAGAAATGTTAAAAACTCTACTTGACGAACAACTAACTTTATCAAATATACTAAGAACAACTTTGTGTACGCTAAAAAGGCAACCTTGCCACAAAATTTAGCGCACGCGCACCTTCTAAACTTTCAACGAACAGCATCCCGGCCTCAAAATTTGCAATTAGCCCCCCCCTTCTAACACCAACTTCAATATTTAAAGTCGCTTTCCTACTTTCAAAAATATGCAAATTTTCCTTCAATTACCGAACGCGTAGCAACAGCCAATCATACACCCCTTTCTTGTTCCTCCTTAACTCGCGCCAAATTCTCTATATCTCCGATATCATTGTTCTACGAAAACCCTCAGTTTTTGCCCGTTAAATTAACGCATCCTTATCGACAATAAATTAAATCATCCTTTTAATAAAGGTGCCCATAACTTTAAACAAAACTGATTTAACAAAGCAAAACTGATAACGAAATAAACGATAAATTTCCCTACATTTAACAATGAATGAGTTTTTAAATTAATTCTAATTAGGAATCATGATTATTAATTATATGTTGTCTTGTGGCATTAAAAAAAAATCTAAAATCAATGGACAACCATGAGCAAAACTAATTTATTCAAATAGAAACCTACCTATACTTTGTATTGAATATTCTTATTCTACATCGGAAAATAATAAACTTTCGTGGAAAGGTTTTTGCCTACACTTATGATTTTTTGAAGACACTCTTCCAAATGCACTATTTTTGGATTGAACTAGGAAGCTCTTCTGTTGGCATTTTTTAATATCCTCTTCCAATAGCCGTTTTCTCGATTTGTTTCCTCATTTTCACCAAAACTTTATTTTAAAACTTCGACGATCCAACTGCAGCATCAAAACTTCAAGTTTGTATATTTTCAAAAAAAAGCAGTAAATACGGAAGGGGCTAATTCTTTGGATTACTTTAAGACTAAAAGTTCAGATAAACATTTGTCCGCAAACGCTTTGTTACCGATCGACAGGGTGTTATAGTTTCACCGTACTCTTTATAATTTAGACTGATTCAAACTGATTACTGATTACAAGGTAGAATTTCAAATACGTAGGATCAAAACTAATAGGAGATTATCTAAATAAAGCCCAGTGGACCATTTTCAAAAATTAAAATTTTACTTTCATTTAACTACGGAGATATATTTATTATAAGATACGAAAAAAGACCAAAAAGGTTTCAAACAAACCAGAAAATCTAATTTTTATTTTACAATCTACCAGTGGCGCACCGAAAAAAAGTTCAGGGGTAGAAAATGGAACATGGTTTCTGAAAGGACGCACTGTGGATTCTCACTACCATTGGGCCAATGATGTAAGCCCTTCATCGTAACTTATATTTCAAATTTGAGCAAAATATTTCACAACTGCAGGAGATAAAAAAAAACTCAATAATCGTGAAATTTTCAAAACCCTGTAACGAAGCATTTGCGGACTTGTTTATCTGAACTTTTAGTTATAAAATAAGTCAAGTTTTTTTATTTTGAAGGCGTGGCATCTGATGGATCGATTTCATGTGACCTAGAAAGATTTTTTCTTTGGTCCAACCTCAGGATTACACTGAAGATCAACGACTCGTTAGCTGTTAAAATCGCTGGTAGTGACAGCCAGCGGTACGGAGCGAGTACGAGATTTTACGTTGGAGAACGTAATAAAATGGTTTGTTATGGTTCTATGGATTAATAGATTAAATAGATCAGGTCCGCAAAGTAACCAGTATCCAGTTTTGGGTCTTTGCGGAGTAGGTATGGTTTTCGAGTTATTCAAATTTGTGGGATTCCATATTACCCCAAAAAACTCGATGCTCTGTTTCCGAAAAAAAATTGACTTCCAATATTCCAGAAATTGGTATATGAGAAAGTGCAAGTTGAGACATCTTATGTTTCTTCTTATCACACAACACGTTCAGTAGGCCTCTTTTAGTATTGAAGTTGATTTTTAGGCGAGAGTGTACAAATCCCACATAGGTACATATCGAAAGCTGGTATATTTTTATATTGTAAACTGACAGTATAAATTTAACTCCTTGTATAGCAAAGGTGAAAATGCTGAGAGTGTTATACGTTCATGAAAGCTTTCAGAGATGATTTATTTGTTTGCGATTAGGTATAGTGTTGTGGTCGGCAGCACAAAACACTAGACTATATACCAGTTTTAAACAGATGTTTCAGACGTCTACTTTCACATTGCTGTTAGAACACCGTAATGGGGATGAAAATTGGTAGTGATTCATTTAATTCGCTTTTATAAAATAATATCGTTGCATCTTTCATTCCACTAAAACAAAATTGAAGTTTAAAACCATAATTACACAGTCATTAATTTTGGACGTGTGTATAAAATTGATCGACCTAATTATTAATAACAGAATCCATTTAATAGCCGTGATAAATTTTCACCCTAAATCCATTATTCGTTAATAAATGGAGGCGTAGGAAGTGCTCTTGAATAACTGGCAACAAACAATAAAGTACGTATTACACCGGGTACAGATTCATGATGTAAAATGATATAAACCACTTAACAACATTTATCTTCCCCATTTGCCAAACCCTGTTAACCAAAGAACATTAAATAACTCACACAAAGGGTGTTAATGCGGCTATATCTCGGCGTTATGAAAAACTCTTGCGTTCTGAGTAGTGTGGGAGAATTATAACAGGTACGTATGGATGATTCCAGTGATTACCAACAAGGAAATTGCGGGTTGCAAATTACAAATATGAATGGATTAATGACATATTGCGTATATAACATCTTAGGCGCTTTTGCAACACACTTTAGGGGTCCGTTATCAACGTACCCTACCGATTTAAGATAGTAGATGTGAATGTCGAGTACGTAAGAACTTTAACGAAAAATTCAATTGTATTTAACATTACTGGTTAAAAGGTTTAGAACCGCGTGTAAAATCAAGCATAAAGGTGTGAAGATAGATTTTAGGGAAGTTGAAAACACGCGAAACACCAATCTGTAGCGGTGGCTGTCGAGATGAGCAGCCCTAGGGTGGGAGTTCCTCGCAGGGAGGAACAGGTACGAGGTGTTAGTTGATTCAGCAAAGGATCTAATGGACCAAAACAACACGCGTCAGTAGCTAAAAGACGATCAGTTTGACTTAGTACTCCTAATATTCAACAACACAGATTTGCGTAGGTGATTAGTGTGTCGTAACCATTATGGAGCTTTTAGTGAAGCGCGATTTACATGAATTCGTTCAAACCGAATCCGAAACAGATCAAGACTCTGATCGCGAATTAGATGATAATGAAAGCGTAGACATTTTAAGTGACACCCCCGATTTATTGGAGCAAAGAGAATTCAGTGGAAACAACAGGGTGAACCATAACAAATTTTCTATTGATAGTATATTAGGGTTAAACACAAGCGGAGAGACTCATAAGTTAAGCGGTGGCGAATGTGATAATGCCTGTGATCTTGGACTGATTAATAGCAAACATAGTTCTGAAGAAATTAAACCTTCATTTACGGCTACGCTGCAAGGTATTTAAAATGTTTGTCATCATGCAACAACATCTATAAATTTTGGAATTATAAAACTTTCAGATCCGTGTTATCGGCCCATCTTAGAACTACCACAATTGCCTCGTCCCGATCACCTATCGCTGGAGACAAGAATAACAGATTCCTTTGCGGGATCTAAACTGTCACCCGGAATTGAAAGCGCTTCTGATCTTCCGACATATCCGTTGTCATTTCATCCGCACTTTGGAAGTAATCCATCAGCTTTGCTGTACGGTGGATGGATTGGGGGTAGTCCGGAACAAAAGGCTGTTACACAAATTTTTGGCTTGCAAGGTACCTAATTTAATAATTAGTTTAATGATATTCAAAAAGTCTTACTAATTTAATTATGGAAGATTATACGGACCGTGCATGTCTGGATATTATGTTACTTCAACCCCAAAAGCATCCAATGAGTTTTAGAATTTCAGAAATATTTACTTCACAAAACGGAGCACCTACTAACTATATACTGAAATATGAGTGGTTTAACTGACATTTTTTAAGTTTTATAAAAGATGCCTTCAAAACTGTTCCAAATAGACAGAGAATACAGGTAATGGGCGTTTTTGTATTTGTCTTGTTACAAAATATAAACGTCATCTGACTTATTTCTGAAGAAGAATTTCAAATCAAATCTAAGCAGAATACATAAGCTGAGATATCTGCAGCAACGCAACCACTTTAATAAATCAAAGGCACTCGGTAGCGGATAAAATCTTCACTATCTTTATAGACATATTAAAGCTCAACACAGTGTTAAAACAGAACAAACTCGCACTGTTAAAGTTACAATTCTGGCCATTCACCACCAAACTAATTTAATTCAAACTGTGTCATTTGAGCCGTCGCCTAATTAAAAATCTGAAGGTGGTTGCAACCCCCAGAACATGGTTAAAGTTGCAAGAATTATTTTTACACAAAAATTCACCACCATCATTCGATTGATTTTTGAATTTCTATGAATTGTTAGATGGGACTCATTTTCGTTGGAACGCCGTGTTGCTGCTGACCGAACTACCGTTTTTCATCGCTTTCATTCCAGAATATTTCTAATTTTTGTTTTGACTCCTATCGTGAGCGAGGCGGTAACCAGTTCATGTTCAGCTTATTTTTAGATATTACCCCAAAGGTTTCCTTGAATGTAAAATCGTTAACTTACAAAAATAAAACAATTAGTTATAACTTACGAAGGCGTCTAAGGGACACAGTATTTTTTTTTTGTTTCCTATACATTCCAACGCAAGATTTTGTGTTATAACACAAAATTTTGCTCTATAACACAAAATTTTGCTTTATAACACAAAATTTTGCGTTACATCGCAAAATGTTGTATTATAATGCAAAATTTTGCATTAAAGTACAAAATTTTGCGTTATAACACAAAATTTTGCCATATAACACAAAATTTTGCGTTATAACACAAAATGTTGTACTATAATGCAAACATTTGCGAATAACGTCATTCCATTACAACACAATTTTTTTCATTTATAATTTTATATCCCAAACAAAACGGGTGACCGTTCCCTGCAGTCTGTCCCTGGAATGCCGTTATTCGCATATGTTTGCATTATAGTACAACATTTTGTGTTATAACGCAAAATTTTGTGTTATAGAGCAAATTTTTGTGTTATAACGCAAGATTTTGTACTTTAATGCAAAATCTTGCATTATAATACAACATTTTGCGATATAACGCAAAATTTCGTGTTATAAAGCAAAATTTTGTGTTATAACACAAAATTTTGCGTTGGAATGTATAGGAAACAAAAAAAAATACTGTGTCCCTTAGACGCCTTCGTAATAACTGCACTGTATGCATCTAATAAATAACGGCGACTTCAAACACATGTACGTACAAATTTATTTTGCACAAATGAACCGGAATTGAAATTACTTCTCCACCATAATACTGCATTCCAACATTTGAGTGATTGCTTGAGATCACTTGCATCATCAAGCCCTTCAAGCTACATTATAAACATTTTTTCCTGAATGTGTAGATCATCATATATAATTTGAAATCATAATGTTCTCGTATGATCCACCCTTAAAAATGACTAATTATGGGTATGCACTTCTTAACCAAATTTTTAAAAAATCGTATTTTCCGAAAATGTTCTTCATTGTAACGGTTATTAAGAGTTAAGAGAGAATAAAGCTTGAACATAGATCATTGAAAAATTTGTCAGTGGGCGGGTATCCAGTGAGAGTGACATTGTATACCTCAGATCAAAGGTCTTCTAAAATTATGTCTGCAGGTGCTTTCACTACTCTTTCGCGATCAGGGGATGTCATTATACTATACCTACCAGTTGTCAGTGACTATTTTGTATCCTGTATTTTTGAAACAAATCGTCATTTCTTTGGAAATGTTGACAATAAGGATATCTTCCCCGAACTTCACCAGTAGGCGGCATTTAATTGTTCTTGAATCAATCTGATATTGACCCTTGCTGCGACTTTTCAATTCATAAATTGAGATTCGACATTCTTCAGTATTCTGAAGGAATAAAAGGTATCTTCGCCGTCTCCACTGTGGAATACAGCGAATAGCCTTTCTTATACTCTGGCAACTTAGAGAACTAATAAAAATGATGGTATTGCTGCAACGAGGTCAAAGTCAGGACCGACGTTCCAAAATGTTCATCTCCACGTTTCTGGGCATCATTCAAAAACGTATCCCTTACCGAGTGCATCTGGACCATACGGACAATAGGCTTCGTTGCGAGAGGAGCCTTCTTCCCCCCCCCCCCCCAAAGACAACAATGGCCCTTGAAGCGAAAAGATTTTTTCACAACGGACCTGAGCACATGCCTTCTAGAACTCGTTGATGGCTGGCGAACCGAATCATATATCCCACTACTTCCACGGCGGACATGAGCCGCTATTATAGCCTCACTGTAATATATTTTTTTCACTCGCGAGAGTGAAAGCCCGTTTCTATGACCACAAAATAGGGACTGAAATGGCAAATTATTCCCTAGGGAAATAATAATAATGAAAACTCCCTGATGCTTATATAATCATTTATTAACACAACTCAAAAAGGTACATTGTTTATATTTAAATTAAACGTGATATTCTCGCATTTTGAGAAATTAATTGGTGGTATTGATCAACATATTTGAATCAGAAGAACTGGTTTCTGGTATGACATTGCAGATATTAGAACTACAACTATCCCCTTGATTAATCCGATTAGCAATATTAATTTTATTGGCGATAGAGTTTTCAATATAACTTTCCGCAACAGTTGTAATTTCCACCCACCGTGCCGCTTTATAGTGGTAATATCAGCACCCGCGTCCGCTAATAGGGTAGTGGACGATCGGCGCAGACAGTGTCCCGTATATAGTTGGGGGTTTGGTAACTTTAAGAAACTTGCAATCGTTGATGGTACTTTGCCAAGCGTATTCTTGCCAACAGGCTGAGTCGTACATTTTCCATTCTTGTAAAAAATGAAAAATCGTTGATGTTGTATTGTTTCAGGTCTTAGTGCTGCGTACTTGCGAATTAAATGAAGAAAATCTGTACCATCTATGTTTCCTGTTATTACGAAGGTTCTAGATGTCTTGTTTTTGGTAAATGGTAACGTAATTATGAAGGAAGATCCCATATCGTTAACGTTATGCGTGGTTAGATTAACTAATTCGTCAGTGCGACATGCAACACTTATTCCGAAGATTAACACAACCTAATGCAACATTGTTAGTACGAGTATGTTTTTTAAAGCCTAATCTATTTTACCTTTCGCATTAGATGGGCATCATCGTCAGCTTCAGACAAAAATGTTTTCACCTCTTCTCTGTTTAATATCTTTGATTTTTTGGGAGCATACCCATCTGAATTTCTTTTTAGAAATGATACCAGTTTGCGGAATTTACTGATATCGATGTTGTCATATATGAGCATGCAAGACCTCATCATAGAATATTGCGCCCACACCGTGGAACACTTATAATTTTTAGCCTTTTCGCTAAAATAAACCAACATGACATTTTCGGAAAAAGTCTTCACACTTTTTTGTAGGCACCAATCTTTAAAACTGTGGTATGCTGCTTCATACAATTTTTTGGACCTCGCGGGCAGTAAATTGGTAACAGTAGCGTTAGCAGCTTCAGTAATCTCAAAAGGTTCTTCGGAAAAACTAGCAGATTCCATAATTTAGACCCACGCACGTTTTCACAAAAACACGATATTTGTTTATTGGTTGGCATGGAAGTCTAGACAAAGGCATGGAGGTTGCTAACGTGATTATTATTGTGCCCTAATACCTGCTTGTTGCCATGATACAGTTTCAATACTCCACTAACACGATTAAAGGGGTTCTAATGAAAAATCTTTGACTATATTTAAAGTATAAGTAAACATCCTCGCGAGTGAAAAAAATAGTATATACACCGCTGGAGAGAAATGGCGTTTTTCCCTTGGTGCCTTGTGGCCCTCGGGCTTCGCCCTCGGGCAACAATAACACCGCGGGAAAAATCAACCATTTCTCTCCCTTAATGTATAATGTACTATTTTGTACTCCGTGGACTAAATCAACGTGTTTTGTCATTCATTTAAGGGACTAAAGTGCAATTTTTTCTCCCGAAGGAAGAAAAACGCGACGCGGGACTAAAAGTGACAGTACACACTGAATTGTCAAACACAATTTAATGATTAATGGTTACCTGTATTGTACATATTTATTCTTGCACCATATTTTACACTTATTATACCGTTTTCCAGATATCTTTTTGAATTTGGAAGGCAGTAGGTTTCCTTATAGCTTGTTCTTCCGAGTTTTAAACGCTCATTTGTACGCCTTAGTTTTAAACTAGAATCTTTAGATCAAACTGACATGTATCGTTATACGGTCACAATTTGACATTACCAGGTATATTGATCCTACAATCAATCAAATTTTTTCTTTCAAATTTGCACTTTAACATTGAAATTGCCGTAGCTGATTACCGGAGTACAAAAAATAGCGTAATAGCGTCCTAATCCCTCGGGTGCTTGTTGCCCTCATCTACGTTTCGGGCAACAATCTGCACCCTCGGGATTAAAACACACACTTTAGTCCCTCAGTACATAATATACTATAAGGCATGTGCTATGAACTGTTATTTCCTCTTTCCTCTGTACAGAGTAAAACGCATGTTGGAGCAGTATATCCTTAATTTTTACCTTGAGTTCTTTTATATCGCAGTTGGTGATAGTAAAGTCACTAAATATAGAAAATACCGCAATCCATTTGGGCTCGTGTATTAGAGAGAGAACGCATGATTTTTGCCCAAAAATGG